TGTAAATATACAATGCGTTCCCCTGATTTTCCTGTCGTTCTCACCCATATGGAAAGGATATATATAAATCTTATAAAGTTTGTATCTGTCTTGTGTGGAAAAATTATATAAATGAAACTTTGTATGTTTTTGATACTTACTAAAACAATATATGAAAGTAATGAGAAAGTAGCCACTTTCATGAGTAAATCATATAAGCCTTATATGATTTACTATATGAAGTAGGCCACATTTTATGCAAGTCTTTTATAAGTTTTTACTATTACTTTTCCATATGGGCAGTGAGGTCAATCCAACGAGTACTACGAGGCCAAAAACTGGTATTAACAAACCTCGCACAGTTCCTCAGAAACACAGAAGAATGAGAACTTAGAGATGAAGCTCCGTCTCTCTCTCACACACACATACTCAGGCTCAGCTGTGTTCCAAACACAGCGGCCCGACTCAAGTGTGAGCAGGCCTAAAAATAAAAAATAAAATAAACACTCACAAGGCATTTAAACACAACAATTACCTTTCTGTCTGAGACTTAAAACAAAAGGTGACATGGAAAAGTCTTTGAAACACCTGCTGTTATAGAGGTACTATATATTGATACTGTTGAAGTTTTAAATCTATAAAAGAAAAATGACACTGCACACGTCTACAAACAACAATGCCCTGGACTGTCAGTGGTCATGTCCACAGAGCAGCTGGACCACATACGCTGTACGCTGCCTTCATCAACACCAGAGCTCTGGGCAGGTAGATGGGCCGTCCCCAGACTGCCAGCAGACTGCAAATGTGCTCTTCACACTGAGCCATAAATTATGGCTGTACAACTCATGCTACAAAGGATATTAAGCAAAAACATGTTTCAGGCATTGCAGTTGTCAAAATTGAGACAATACAATTAGAGAAGTCAGAAAGACCGATTCATGCATCTGAACAACCAATTGACGCACTGGAATTAATGGAGGATTTCTTCTCCCAGCTCGATCTCTCTACCATACCAACAAAACAACAGACCACCCTCAATGCTCCCATTTCTAGAGAGGAAGTACTAAACGCTATAAAAACAGAAATGCCCAAGGACCTGATGGTGCTTTGAGGGCCCCGAAAAGTGCTATATAAATGCAATCCATTGTTATTCATTGCAATCCATTATTTAATAGTAAATTTTATAAAGAATTCAGTGAGCTGTTAATAGATCCATTAGTCAATATAATTATTCATTCTTGAATAATAGATTACCTCAGACTCTAAGGGAAGCTAATAGTGCGCAGAGTCTTATTCCTCTTATAGACCGATAGCTCTTCTAAATGTGGACCGGAAGATACTTTCTAAAATAGCTACGCGACTCAAAATTCTCTTGCCTATAATTATTAAAGAAGATCAAACAGGCTTTATAAAAGGCAGTAATTCCCGTAATAATGTCAGGCACCTTCTCAGCAAAGGAACATGAGTGGTTTGGTTGTTTCTCTGGAAGCTGAAAAAGCTTTTGACCGGATAGAATGGACATACTTATTTTACAATTCAAATAAATTCAGTCTTGTTAATAATTTCATTAAGTGGGTAAAGATTTTGTATGATACTCCTCTGGCGTCCATTTTGACTAATGGACTGAAATCAGATAGTTTCCCATTGTTTAGAGGAACGAGGCAAGGCTGCCCCCTGTCACCTTTTTTTTTTTTTTGCTATTGCCATTGAACCGTTAGCCAAGGCTATAAGGAGGGCACCTGATGTACAATGTTACGGCCCTGGGCCGGCTGTGTACTTTTGTTGTGCTGTGTCTTTAAGACTCCACAAGTCCTTCCTGATTGGAGAGCTGGCAGCGGCTGATTGGTCCCTGATCATGTGGCTCTTTTCAAAATCCCTCATCAGCAGTTGTTGCTGGGCCAGCCACTGACAGCAGCAGCAGACCTGACCCTGGCCTCATGCTTGTGATTCTCGTGAATTACTGAGCTTGTATATAGTGTGTAAATTAGTCTTCAATTGTAACTAGCACATTGTAAATAGACACTGAAACAGAAGGGGTGAGCTGCCTTATTATTTTCCTTGTACTGTTTTCTAGTGATAGTGAGATGAAGCCTCTTGATGAACTGAAGCTTTCCATCCATTTGGTCGACTCATGGTTTGAAACATTGTGATTTCATTTGCTCTATTCCGCCATCAAGTGGACGATTCAAGTGAAACAGGCTCTTTGATTATAATGATGTGATGTGTAAACCTCTAAACTGAATAAATAAATTGTTTTCATGGTTATTTATCACAAATATTGTCTCAGTATGTCTGATAGAAAAGACAAAGTGGAAACTATCAACACAGAGTTTTGGTATGATTGTGTAACTGTGTAATCATGCTTATGTACATCAGGATAATGACACAAAGTAGTGTGTGGCACTTCACTTTTTAATAAACTAAAAGAAAGAAATCAGATTATAGGATGTGTAGTGTTGGTTATTTATACTATGGTACTTATCATTTGTGATATTTATTACTGTGTGCATACTTTATTAGAAGAGAAAAAAAACTCTTCCTTGCTGGTTCCATCGAAGAAGAAATGCTCAAGTAACTATGTAGCACGTACGTAATCCAATTCAACAACACAGTGTGATGGGGAAATCAGCTGTGTTTTGCTGCCCATTTTATTTCGAATCTGGCACAAACCGGCGAGCCAGTTTCTAAATCAGTCACGTGGTACGGACTGCCCGCGAGGCCTCGAACGTCACTGCATACATAATCAAAGCGAGCCTCTATACGCACTTCACAAAAACTCCCCCGAGATTACCCGACACACGCTTCGAAGCTTCGAGACACAAGACACATCACTACTGTTTTCTCCTGTTTATTTCAGTTAGGGAGTTAGGTGTAGCCTTTTGTCTTTTGTTTGTTTTTTGTTTCACATAGGGTTTTAGATGGCACCTCTTCTCCTGACTTAGCTTGTTTTGTTTGTTATTTTGGCCTTTGTTTACCCCGGAGCTTAGTTTTCAGTGTAGATAAATAAACCACCGTTCACTTAAGAAATTGTTTTTTCTGTGTATGGTTTTGGGGACCAGGGCCGGGTCACTTCCTTTTTTAACTCTTATGCTACGTTCCTGTACCCCTAGACTGGGGCGTAACAACGGGGCTTGCAAATTGATTATGAGCATAAGATCAGTTTATATGCAGATAATGTTTTAATATTTATTTCTGATCCAGAGACATCAATACCGGCTTTACTTAACATTATTGATACATTTAGTCAATTTTCTGGTTATAAAGTAAATTTGAAGGCTATGCCAATTGGCAGCCTTAATTCAGTGCCAACTGGACTGTTTTCTTTCCCCTTCAAGTGGTCGCCTTAGGGATATATGTATACTTAGGGATATTTATAACTCCAAAATTTAAACAAATGTATAAAGCAAATTTTGTCCCTCTGTTCGAGAAGGTAAAGCAGGATTTGGAGAGATGGAATTCCCTACCCGTTACCTGGCTAGGACGTATACCTTTGGTTAAGATGAATATTTTGCCTCGACTGTTGTCCTGTTCAAATGATTCCAGTTATATTTTCAAATACGGTGATGAAGGATCTGAACAGCTGGCTAAGGTCTTTTATATGGAGCAAACGCAGACCAAACGTATGATGGCTACACTACAGCTCCCAGGTTCAGTAGGGGGTCTAGATTTACCAAATATTAGAACATATCAATTGAGTACTCACATGTGCTATATTCATGACTGGGTCACAAATAACTCACACTCTATCTGGTTGGGGATTGAAACTTCTCTTTTAAAGTATTGTCAGGGTTCCTGGGTGTTCACCCAGTCAGTGTTTTCAGTTGTTTCATGTTCAGTTCATTCACCTGTTCACATTTCCTGTTTTCATGTTTGCTTCCTGTGTGTTATTAGTTCTATTATGATCAGCTGTGTTCTCACTGGTCCCTAATCGTTATCATTAGCCAGTGTATTTAAACCCTCAGTTTCCACCTGTTCCTTGTCGTGTCATTGTTGATGTTATGTTGTCGTTCCCGCCTGTGTTCAGTTCAGCCAGCCATTCAGTCTTTCAGTCAGTTGGTCCTTTCGTTCCTGCTCTGTCTATCCACTCATTCCAATAAATCATTATCACCCTGCACAGTGAGTCCTGCGTTTGGGTCGTCTCTTCCTCGCCTCCACACAACCGCTGACAAGTATCCATTAAGGGTCTTACTGTTCTTTAAGAACTTTGAAGATATTAGTTCAAGCTGTGAAAATCAAATCACACTTAATACACTTTAGGCCTGGTGGTCAGTATGTTGACGGGAAGGTTGAAGTTAACATCTATGTTCACCCCTATTGTGAATAACGTTGACTTTAAACCAGGGATGTTCGATGTAGGTTTTAAGCAATGAATGTTCAAACTGCGTCGTACTGGGATCACAGGTATTGTACTGTATTGTATACTTGATTAATTGATTGATTGCATGGATCTGAGCTGGTGTTTTGTTTTGTGCTTAGTTCTCAGTCTGTTTGTTTGTTTTTGTTGTTGCTTTGTTTTTGGATTGTTTGGTGTGTTTTTTTTTGGTTGTTTTTTTATTGTTCTGAACTTTATTTATTAACACTTTATTATGTTATGTAATTGTGTACTATTTGTGAAAATGAAAAAAAATAATTAAAAGATATTGTTAAAAAAACTGATCAAAGTCCACTGAATCTGCTAAACTAATTAAAACATTGTAAGTGCAGGTCTTCACTTTGCATTTCTTTGTGAAAACAGCACAGCAAAGGAGACTCAGTGAAGTTTTGGTATAAGGGATAAATCTTCTGACCGAACCTGCTGGGACTGTGTGAGGTCCTGAGGCTAAGAGTAATGATTTATCCACAGGAGAGCTGCGTTCTTACAAACCATCCCACTGTGTAAACCTGACATCTGTGGAACAGCTGAGCTGTATGATGTGTACAAGGACACAAAACATCATTTACCATCAGATCCCGAGCCCTCCATGTGTTAATCAAGAAACTGCTGCTGTGCTACATCCATAAATAATGAATAAATTAGGAGCTAAAGCTAAAAGGACAGTTTATTTGTACCATCTTCATGTGAACACATTCAAGAACATCACAGATGAAAGAAACATTAAAAACTTCCACACTACATAAAGCAAGAAAAATTGTTTTTCTTTCAGGTGGTTTCAGAAAAAACTAAAACATCAAACACCTCCAAGACTCTCTTTGAAAGAACTAAAAACCTTTATTCTCATGGTCCAATCATGAGTGAACTCCCCAATGAAGCCTTGTGTGCTAAAACATGTCAGAGTTTTAAAGGTTAAACATGAGTTTCCAAAACGTTTTGCTGGAGAACAATGAACTATTTGACTGAGTTTCAATTATTTACAGACGAGCAAAACCAGGACAGAGAAAAAAGGACAAAACTGACTCAGTAAAACAACAGAAAATAAGATCCCATATAAATCTGTATTATGTAGAAGTTCAGCCCAGCAACCAGTTCAATTCAACACAAGTTTAAATGATTCTATCTGAACTCTGTGGAGTCTGATCTCAAGCTTTTTGAGTCTGACACTGAAACCAGATGATCTTTATGTCTCTTCAGATTCACTGTGATCCAGTGATGGGAGTGATTTCAGCCCTGAGTGATCACGCTGATGTTTGCACAGAGCAGACAATGAGGTGAATGTTTTGGCACATTGGTAACAGTGAAACAGTTTATTAGTAATGTGGGATCGTTTGTGTTCGGAGTATGAACTGAGATTCCTGAAGCTCTTGTCACACTGGTCACAGCTGTAGTTTCCTTTCATGTGTGTACCTTGATGCTTGTTACGATTACCTGAATCTGAGAAGCTTTTGTCACAGTGTCTGCACTTGTATGGTTTCTCTCCTGTGTGGACCCGTTTGTGTCTTTTAAGCTCACCTGCAGAGGTGAAGGATGACCCACACTGGTCACACAGGTGCTTTTTAACCCCACTGTGAATCAGTTCATGTCGTTTTAAGTTTTGTGATGTGGTGAAGCTTCTCCCACATTCTTTGCAGTATTTCAGTTTGTCTCCTGTGTGTTTACGTTGATGCGTTTTTAAGCTCATTTCATGGCTGAAAGTTTTTCCACAGAGGTCACAACGAAAGTCTTTACCACCACCACAGTGATGACAGGGTTGAGAACTGGATCCATATGTGTCGCTCTGCTTCTAAACAAAGATACAAAGACAGTGTAAGTCAGTACTTCAACACTTTTATTCTGAACGTCGCCTGAAATAAAGAGCATCTCTGCAGACGTCCAATTACATTTGACTGTTTCAGTTAACACACTCAGTTTACTGTGTAAAAACTACAATACTACCACCATAATACTACAGTAATACTAAAATCATAACTGACATGAAAATCTGAATAATCACTCAGAGCTGCTTTTCCATGCAGTAGAATTGCTAACATGCTAACACAATTTAATGAGCAGAGTTGTTCCAAACAGTCAGGCTAAAATGACAAGATAACAATATAAATACATACCTCACAGTAACTGCACTTGTAGAGTCTCTTTCTGGTGTGGATCTGTTGGTGTAGGCTCAGGTAACGTGGAGATTTAAAAGTCTTCTCACACAGGTCACATTTAAAAGGTCTCTCCTCAGTGTGGGTAAACATGTGTCGTTTTAACTGTGTGTCTGTAGCAAAGTATTTGCCACACTGTTCACAGCAGTACACATCATGTCTGGTGTGAATGCGTAGGTGTATATTTCGGTTCCCGCTCTGGCTGAAAGTTTTTCCACAGATGTCACAGCTGTATGCCTTAATTCCAGAGTGGGTAACTAGATGATTCTGTAAGCTACCACTTTGAGTAAAAGCTCTGCCACACTGATCACAGCTGTACGCTTTAACTCCACTGTGGATGAGTTGGTGTCTTTTTAGGTGACCCTTCAAGGAAAAAGTCTTTCCACACAAGTCACAGCTGAACGGTCTCTCTCCAGTGTGGATGACCTGATGATGTTTTAGTGAAGCCTTCCCAGTAAAATCCTTCCCACACTCGTCACAGGTGTATGTTTTCTCTCCCTTTCTTCTGTGAGGCTTGTCGGCCTCCTGAGAGCGCTGACTTCTCGCTCCATGTTGGTCCTGCAGTGACAGAGATACAAACAGAGGCAGTGAGTGGAATGCAGTCGTGGAACAAACTGAACCTTCAAACTCCCTCCATTAACACTAGTTTTAAACCTGAAGGTGGAGTGTGGCACCAAACACCTTAAAGGTCTCCTACCCCCACCTGCTGGTAGTTCTAACACATTACATCCAACCTGGTGTTAAAAATAATTCATGACCATTTAAAAACACTAAAATCATGCCCATCCCTCCTGAATGTACACAGATATAAAAATGTATACATATATAATATATAAATATTTACCAGATCACTCCTTTTTTATATTTCCTATTGCTGTTCCCTATTATATATTTCTATAATTTTCTAATTTATTCAATGATAATAAATCAACGTAACAGTTACCAGCCTGGTTCAGTGAAGGAAAATGTCAGAGTCTGATTGCAGCCTCAGGATTTCTTTAAAACTTTTACTCCCTACACATATCTGTATTTTCTAGTCCTTACACCTTCAAAACAGGCTTATTACTTTTGGTTTAAGCCATTTGAGGAGAGTAATTTTATCGCTGCAGGCATCAAACATCAAACTGATTTGAACCTAAACTGTAACACATGAAAGGCAATCCTGATCGTGCACTAATCACCAGGGTATGAAACATAAAAAGAGATGAAAGAGGCAAAACTGTGTGCAAAACATAGTCAAGAGTTAAAGTGGACCAATGTTCTTTTTTGGCACAACACCTGAACCACTGCAGGTGCTCATAAGTTGCAGTCACGGTACTTCAGCATCCAGCTAGCAATACAGAAGATGAGCAAGAATAAATGGATTCATATTTTTTAAGTGGCAGGTAATTTCAAATGCAGCATTTGTATCAGCTCAAAAAACATCAGCAAACACACAAACTGACAATAAAAAAGTGTGTTGATGGCTAAAGGTCCAGCTGCTGTACATCACAGGGAGAGAAAAGAAAGAGAGCTAACTTCACTCAGAGATGGAGAAAGATAAGACACACAGGACAGGAGAGGAAGAAGACAGGTTAGATTTAAAGGGAAGGACTGCTCAGTGGGATTTAATAAACTGGAAATGTAAAGCTTACATGTAAGTCCTCATGTGTTTAAATCAGATATTGGGTCTGTACATGTGACATTATGTTTTTTCATACACTGAAAGATGCTGAAAAACAATCTGAGGCAGATTAACTGTGTTATTTAAAGACTGCATGAAGATCCTCTGCAGGTTAGTGCACGCTGAGCCACTACAGGTGATTTTAGGGTTCCCACCTGCTCAATCCCACTTTAACCTCTTCCCTGCTCATGTTCTTGTTTAGAGGCAAAGTCACCCTCTACAATGTAGGCAACAGAAAATACACATGTTTTATTTTCCTTCATTTTCTACTTAGTTGATTCAAACTGAGTTCCTTTATTAGAAATAAATAGGTTGTATTTCATTTACTAATCTTATTTTATTATTACATTAATATAGCACAAGGTTCAGTTAGCTTTGGAAAAAAACAGGTGGTAAAAATGTTCTTCAAGGTGCTACTTTTACTTTCTTACTCTGATTACATTTCAGAGCCGGTACTTTTCCACTTGAGTAAAGTTAAATCAGTACTTCAGCTTTTGATGGCATAATTGATGGAGTACTTCTTTACACTAGTATCTGTCACCTTCTGTGTTGAGCTCATTGTTTCCTCTGTAGTGACTCAGCTGAGTCCAGATGGCTGAAAATGTTCCTCTGCTGCTCCGTCAGACTCTTCTCCTCCTGCTGATCAGCTGGGACACAAAACAGATCTTTGTTAGGTTCCACACTGCACTGAAGAGTCAAAGTGTCTCATATGTTCACCTGACAACACAATGGACATATTTTAGCTTCCCTTTCACCTTCATGTTTCCCTCTCACCAGATATCTAAACCAAATTCATGACCCACCGGGCAAATCCCCGGTATGCCCAATGACCAGTCCAGCTATGCGGTCAGCTGGTGGGTAACAGGATCTCCAAAAACAGTAGAGCACTTTTGCAAATTTATGATGTCTTGATAAATGGAGCCGATATTTGAAGTTTACACAGCACCATTCTCACCTGAAAATATCTTAAACGTTTATTTTGTCATCCAGAAAGAGTAATATTTCAAACTCCGCCACTCTGCGTTCCTCTCCCACTGACTCGTTTGAGTTTTGGGCAAAATGTATTCTGGGATATTTTCATTTCGTAATTTTGAGATGATTGGAGACCAAAACAGCCAATCAGATTTTTTGCATCGAAGTCCATGATTGGCTGGTTTTGTGGCACAAATATAGCGGTATACAGAAAGAGTTGAACGCACACGGGCAGAAATTAGAGATGTGCGATACCACTCATTTCCTTTCCGATCCAATACCAAGTAAAATTCAGGGTAGTATCGACGATACTGATTCAATACTTTATCTAAAAACTTATTTCATTTATTGTATCTCAAATTATTATCGCTTAATAATGAACAATTATCATATAGAAATAAAAAATTTAAGTTGTGTGCTATTTGAACACGTTGCCTGCCTGCACTAAAGGACTCTGTGAGAGCTTCTGTCCCTGTCCTCTCCTCCTCTTCAGTTTGCCTGGACGCTCATCAAATTATGTGATATGATTCACTCTGAGGTGTTTGACGAGGTTAATGGTGTTGCCACAACACCTCACTGTCTTGCCACATGTATCGCAAACCAAGTCTCGGCTGTTGGTGGAGGTAAAATACATCC